TGCAACTTTGGATGATGGTACCAGACTTGAATTATTTTCTCAAGGAGGCGAATTTTTGTTGTTATTTTTTCCTTTGTGATTTCCCTCTTCATGAGCTCCCAAACATTTTCTATTGGGTTCATATCTGGTGAATTTCATGGCCATGGTAACACAGGAACATTTTTCTCCAACAAAAATGATCGAACTGTGAGAGCAGTATGACATGGAGCCCCATCTTGTATAAAAACAAATGATTCTTCATTTGTGAACCATTCCTGTAGTTGAGGCAGCAGTTGTTCCTCCAATACTTGCTTGTACTGGTCTTGTTTCATGATGCCCATAACCAAGAACAGACGCCCCGTGCCTTTGCCACCAATCACTGACCAAATCATTGCCTTGGCTGGATGTTTCATAGTCTGGATGAAACAATCTGAATGATTCTTTTCACCAGGGCGCCTTCTCACAAATTGATTTTGTTTGCTACAATTTTGAAAGTGCATTTGTCTCTAAAACAAACCTGAAATACAAGTAAATGATTAATTTTGGTAGCCATTTTATAAATTATAAAAAAAGCACTAAGACTAATTGTTTTAACTGATTTTCCATGAATTCCAAATTTTTTTTCTTAAGGTTTTTAGCCATGCAAGATGTTGATTTTTACATAGCGCGCGCTTCATATCTGGGTTTGTGGGCTGGTCACTCAGCTTATAAAATTCATTGTAGTAGTGTTACGCCTTTGCTTGCTCCTTTCATACACAGATTCCACTACTTTCCAATTTAAATTTAATTTGTTTAGTAGTAGCAAACCGGTTTTCATGGTAAATCTTCCACAAACATCTCTCAGATCTTGGTGAAAATATTCTCTTCTCTCCACATGTGTTCTTCCTACGTGAGGATAATTCTTCACCAAGGACAATTTTTTTCTTAATTCGCAGAATAGATGTCTCGGATACTTTCAATCGAGATATCTCACGATTTTAATAATTTTCTATGTTGACAAGAGCTTTCACTGCTGCAATCTTCCGAGGAGACAAATTACTTGCCTTTCCCATTATTTTTATTCAAAACTATCAGTTTTTCGTATACAATTCACAATTTTTAAATAAACACGGCTATAACTATTTCACAAACTAATAAATAGAAAATAAACTATATTCATGCAACAACACACTACTCATGTCACCTCTTGTTCTACTCAACTCTTGTAATTTGTGTGTCTAAGCAACAATGTGGTGTCAGAATAATGGTACATAATGACAAATAATGTGTTAATTATTAGAAAAAGAAGCTTAGTTTTCATTCACTGATTCGCAACAATGCCAGATGAAATGTACTGCAGTGAGAGACTTCAAAACTTAACATTTTGTTAAAAATTTGGAGTGCGTCTAATAATATGGCCAGGGAGTGTATGCCTATGTTAGCACAGATCTAAATGCATGTACCATTGTTCTGGGTGTATGGAGACAGTTTCTAAATTACACATCCAGATAGATTGCACACAGGTACTGGTCATGGCAAAGGATTCAAATCTGCAGCCTCTCTGTCTGCGTGGTTGAAGGCACCTGCCCCAAGTTTGTAAACTTCAAGGTTGGCTGACTATTGAAACAAGTATTAGTAATGATTATTTAAAAAATTAATAATTTAATAAAAAATGATAATAGTATTTATAAGTAAAATTTACCTTACTGATGAATATACGGCCACAAATGCACATTGTTACACCAAATCTATTTATTTCAATGACATTCAACACAGTCTTTGCCACAGCAACAATGTCAATAAAGTTTCTTTTCCTTTCAAATCTTTCAATCTCACTCTCCTTAATGAACAATTTTATCAAGATTAACTTGACACAAAATTCAGATTACCTCAATTAACACAATCATTCAGTTTTCTTTCCCTAATTTTATATTGAAAAAATATCTTTATACAATCACATCTACATTCTTTCCTTTTTTGTTATTTTTCAGTCATCTAATAGTTAAACTGATATGAGATTTTCAAAATATAACAGAAGAGCAAAACTTTCTTTACATATGAAAATGTTTGGATAATATCTGGAGCTATTTATAAGATAACCTTTCAGTGTTTCTGAAAATGCACATTTTTGAGCTCATTTATGAACAAACACATATGACATTTTGAAATATTTCAAATGTGATCATCTTCCATTCACATTTCAGCTTCAAAATTAATTACACAACATTTATATAATTTATTTATTTTTAGAATAAAGGAAAATTAAAACTTGCAACTTTGCTTTAAAAAAAAACGTTTAACAGACAGTTTTAACAGATACAAACAAAGAATAAACTCAAATATACCTTTCAGCTTGGTTATTAATTGCAATAACAATATCTAATCTCATTCTTCATAGATGGAATTCATGTTGCATTCTTTGAAACAATTTGGCAGACATTGCAGATGCATGCAAAACACCAGCAAAAATGTGCTATGCTCCCCATGCTACTTTTCATTTTGTTTTACATCTAGTCCTAACAATTAAATTTTCAACACAGTATTATACGCACACTGTGTATACAACAATTCCACAACCACTGCAGTCCTGAAAATATGCCTAAATAAAACATAAACATTACCTGAAACTTTCACTTGAAACTATGCTGAGCAGCATCTACTTTGGGGCAAAGTCAAGATTCATAAGTGTTCCTAGCGGCAACCTGAACATGTCATAACTAGGGGGAGGATTTTAATGAAATGTAATTTTTTTCTTTTACTTTAGAACAATGCCTTTTAGTATAAACATTAATTTTCTGTTATGACAAAATGAAATGACTCATTTTTATACGGCGATTTTTGCATTTTTCTTCAATTTCAACTAATAAGTCACTTTTAAAGCATTTTTCTTATTTTCTTGATTTTAATGATACTTGCTTCAAATAACATTTATGAGATGCAACAAATGTTCAACAGAATTCCTGAGTAGCCTTTTCGATTTCCTCACTCAGAAATTGTAGCCGTTGTGAGTATGGGGTCATCCATAAATTACTTAACGCTGAAGAGGGGGGGAGGGGGTCAGACGCAGCATTACACTGCATTACATAGGGGTAGGGGGTATTAATTAAATATTATATAACATTGATATTTAATTTTTTATACTTTTAAACATTTGCTGAAATGATTATTTCTTTGTCATCAACTAAAACATTAAAATATTAACTAATTAACTTGTTTTAAAAACAAATAAACTAAATTTACAAGTTGTAAATTGTTACAATAAAGGGAAATACTTTTCAACATTATTTTTAATATGTAATATTACGAAAAAAATATTCAAAACTGATACAAAGAATATTCTAGAATCCACTTAAATTGGTAGAACTGTAAACTCTGGCTCTATCATCCACGACAACCATGTACATAACTTGTGATCAACCATTTCTCGCCCAAGCATTCTTCCTTCACTGACAACTAGTCCCAATATTATTGTTAGGTGTAGCCAGCATCATCAACTAATTTCTACTGTTACTATCATTCATTTGAATATTCATACTATAATAATGTAACCCATGTAAAATAACTACAAATTGCTTTTACTGTGCCATCATTTATTTTCGGGGGGGGGGGAGGGGGTGTTGTAAGCATTACATATTTTTTATGTGGGTTGAAGCGCATGATACGGGTGCTTAGGAGGAGAGGCGGTATTGAAAATACTTCACATTTGCTTTACGTAATTTATGGACAGCCCCTATATAATCTAAGGTGTCTGTGATATCTATCAGCACCATTGTTTAGAAGATTTCACGATAACAAAATGACAGAGATTTCTTGGTCCAGTCCAAACCAAAAGTGAACAAGCTGAGTTCGCTTGAATGAAAGGAAGAAGCCTCAATTACATTAGTAACATATCCAACAGCCTGAGTTGTTCATTTGAAGTGGTTTTGTTCAATATTTACATCATTCTTCTTTGCTTTCTTTTAGTGAATTTTAATAACATTTGCATGAAACTTTTATAATCTAATAACAAGGAATACTCTGTATTAAGAAATACATTTTTAGCTTCAACTTTCAACGTGGAAACCAGGTTTAAAACGATATGTTAACTTTTGAAAGCTGAATAGTCAAAATGCCAAAAATTTCAAACTTATCACTGCACAATCACCATATTATTAAGCAATCTCTTTTCCTTTTAAGAAAACTACTAATATTTTCAAAAAAATTTAAATGCAATTAATTAAAGAACTACGTTTGAGGAAGAATTTTATTTAAAAAAATCTTTAGCTTCAATAAAGTAGTTGCAGAATGGAACTGTTGGTTTGTTTGTTTTTTTTTGTTGCAAGTTTCAATAATTCAAAGATTTTGCTGAAAATCAGATCTGAGCTATTTTTATAAGCATACATATATACATAAAATTTTGAAAATGGTCCAGAGGACTTGTAATGGAAAGTACCCCTCAAAACAAAACAAAATGGATTTTAAATTTGAGGGACTGAGACATCACTCATATCGCGGGGGAAGCATGTATTTTGCAAAACATAGTATGCACCTTGTATACAGTTTAAGCTCTTATGTTTGTCTCAAACAGACAGATGTTAAAAAAAAACAGTTTCAAAGACCCACAAAACCATGTTATACATACAAAAAAAGGAAATTCTATATAAAGGAGCAAGAAAACTCCACATTTTTGGTATCAAGGACCTACTAAAAGTGTTTTTCTGTTAAAAAATCAGTGCTTTTTTGTTGCAGCATGATGTAACTTTCTCTTTCATTTTCTGGTAGAGAATGGGAAAGAAAACATTTGTGAAACAAGGCACAACCAAATCTCACACTTACAATTAACAATTGGTTTTGCACATACAGATACACTAATTGAAGGCTACCATCATGAGCCTGTAGATGAATTTTGATCGAATGTGAAAAAGAATCCATTTAGGTGCCTTTTGGTGTACTTGACTTGAAAAGAAGATTTTTTGGCATTTTGCCATTTTTATTCTGTATCAGCCGGCCATATCAACAAATATTGTTGTTTCTTTTCAAAATTTTGCACAGGTATTGTCTAGCTGGAAAGTCAAGATTAAGACAGTAATAACACAAATTATGTGAATTTAATAAAATAACATACCTACACCTCTTTCTTAGGTAAGCGCATATTAAATGAAGTTCTAATAAGAAGAGGTCTTACAAATGTAAAAAATTCAAGGATAACAACACATTTATCCAGGTTTTTTGGGGGGAGGAGAGGGTGTACTTGAAGGATATGAAGGTACACCACAGAACATAAATACAGTTTCATCTAAACTATATGTATTAGGTTTCTTCATAAATACAAAATCTGAAAATCAGTTGAAGGAAATGTATCACAAAATAACTGTTCAATAAATGATTTCAACACTCAAAACTTCTTTGACTTTGATTGCCGCAAAGAGTGACCAGCACCGCCAAACGCCTTGAATTCTTCAGAAGGTTCTTTGTTCTACAAAACAAAAACAATCAATTAAATTACATTGTTATTCTTGAATTGTAAGTTACTTCAAATGCAAAGTGCAAAGTGCAATCTACCTCCTTGGATTGTGGCCGTGAGTTTCTGATGAAATGCAGTGTACCAATTTTGTAAGTATAATTTGGGATGCCTCTTTGGTATGGAACGGCTGGTGTTGGTTTCTCTGCATCTTTGAGAGAGTCTTTTCTTTTTTTGCCATCCAATCTATAAAGAATGGTTATTAGAGTAGAAATAAAATACAAACAAAAGCACCCAAAGAATCTCAAAACATGAAGATGAAAATAAAATACAAACATCTGCAAATATGGTTATTATCTGTTATTTGCAATACATTATAGCTTTACTTCAACAAAACATTGAATAAATTGATCAAATGACTATGAATGAAATGAATATCAGGACATATTGCAATTCATTTGATTATTCTTTACAGTGCAGTGCTGGTTGAGAGGTTGATAACTTTTATAAAAAAAATAAAGTCAATATAATGAGTCACTAGCGTTTTCTGAGTCTTTAATAACTTACTGCTTAACATACTTTTTGATCATGAGGCAAATGTTATCAGAGCTCAAAATTAACAGCAAAACATAAGCTACTTACAAAAAAAGGAGCTAAACAAATAAAAATTAAATAATATAAATAAGTAAACAAAAATAAAATTGAAATAGAATTATTAAATTATCAACAGTCCATAAGCAAAATGAAACACATCTGGCTAGCACAAACAATGTAATGAGATTACTGATAGATAGAGAGACTTGGTTCACACAGGACAATGGTTAGAGTAGAAATGAAACATGGGGCTTACACATGGATAAAGGGTTCAAAACTTGTAATGTTTAGAAATATTCATTAAAAACTCATTATTAATCTCAACAAACACATCCTTGGATGCTCCATATAAGGCTGTACTGAACGTATTTCAATTTGACTATTCGCATGATGAAAATCATTATTTCATATTAACTAAATTATTTAAAATAATATTGTCCAATAAAGCCCCCTCTGGCAAAAAACAATTAAAAATGCCCAAGAAAATCATGTTAAAAATTTTTTTTTTTACTGAAAATTGAACCATTTGTAAAGAATGGAATACATGAAGAATGAACTCTACAATTTGTGATGGTGTTGCAACATGCATGTGGAAATAATCGAGTGAAGGGGGGGGGGAGATAAAAAGCAGACCTCTGGAGGTTAGCAAGAGTAAAGGGTATAGAGATTAGGCTAATTTTAGACAGGCAACACCAAAGTCTAATTGATTTAAATCAAGTCCTTTAGAGAACAATATCACTTAAACCACTGACAAAAATCCCAACACCTGCCTGAAATCTTCACACACCAAAATGATTAATAATGATAAATTAAAAATGGCAATAGGATCATAATAACTGTCTCATTATTAATCCCTTTTGTGACGCTGTACCAATTTATTGACATAATGCAACCAGAGGTCCAAAAAATATATAACTGTCTGGGTTATTTAAATAATTTCATCAGCCCACCATCCATTCAGAGCAATCAAAGCAAAAGCAAAATAAGTTGTAGCTATAGATGATGTACAAATACTCCCATCCCAATACAAGGATTTTCTTCTTTAATTGATTTTTTGCTTATATGGTGATAGTATTGAACGACATATGGCCAATATCACAAATAACAAATTTGAGTTGCTTATAAACCCAGGCATATTGCCTTGTGAGCATTATTTCCTCTCTGTTGGCCTAAAGACATTCATTATATAAACAAACACAGTGCTCTTTGCTATCGTTGTAGCCAATTCCATAAATAAAGCCCAAATTTCTATCCCCTCCCTTATGAGACAATGCATAATTTACCACATCCTGTTGCGACAACGAAGATAATAGCTTTCAAAACATCTAACCCCATAAAAGCTATAACTGTAATTTACAGTATTATTTTATGTTAGAGTAAGTCAGCATTTACAATTACCTAGGTTAAAAAATTGTGTACATTAATTAAAATGTTAAGAATCAAATTAAACACATGTACAGACTCATCAAACAAAGAATCATTCACAAAATTCACAAAGAAATGGCCATGTCTGTAGATCTTTATGGTTGTAAGAAATGGACTTATAGACTAATAAAAAATTAAATTAACCAAATTTATGTGGCTGAAATAACATGTCTTGGACATGAAGTCCTTTCAAGATCATGAAGAAAATTATGATATTTCTCAAGAATTAATCACCATAAGGATTTTAGGAAAAATTGAGTTAACTCAGTAAATTATTCTTCTTCTTTAGGTATTGCCTGTTCTGACTTCATTTAGGACTTCAACACCACCACATCCTGGGTATTCCCAATATCTCGTTTTCCCTTATGTTGGTACACCATCACAAATCATAGAATTCTGTCTTTATCCATTCCATTCTTTCTATATGGTGCAACGTTGATTAAAAAATAATTTTTTGAACATGATTCAGTGGTCATTTTTGAGTAATTTTGATTTTTTGGAGGGGATTGGGGCTTTATTGGACAATATTATTTTAAAAAATTTGTTGATATAAAATACTAATTTTCATCATTCAAAGAGTCCAATTGAAATACATTCAGTACATCCATAAATGGAGCATCCAAGGATAATTTCCCATTCCTATTTAAGATTTCAAACTCTTATAACAATTTTTTTTATCAACATTGTTTGAGTAATAAAGTAACAAATGTGTAAGACTTGTTGTTTGTAAAGTTGCACAAGTTTGTATTTTACTGTACCTTTATTTTGTAGTGCTGTTGTTTTTGTTCTTGTTTGTATGTTCTTGTTGATATTAAATATGAACTTTTAATTAATATTTCAAAACATAAAATTATGAGTTTTGTAATTTATTTAGAATATTTAAAAAATCAATAAAACATTTAATTTTCTGGGGGTATTGGAGAGAATTTTGTCTAACATGATAAGTTGCCTCCCTATTTTTTTTTTTTTGTCTTTTTATTTTCATTACATATATCCAATTCTTTCTGAGTAAATTTGTAAGAACATTATAATTGTAAACTGCAGAATGCCAAACCAAGCATTGAATAACAAAGATTGGGAAGAAACAATTTGGGAGATCCCAAATTGTTTCTTTAGAGGAAGTCAACTGTAAATTCAAACAACTAAGACAACCAATATATGCTCCCGCGGTAATATCCTTGAGCTTGAGCAACTGGAGCACAACGGAAACTTGGGTATTTTTTGCATAACATTGTAAATGATTTAAGAATATTATGCCAAAAAAGTTTTTTCAGGTAAGACGTACCCATAAGCAATAACACACTAAACACCGATGACATCACTATGAAAGGTGCTATTTGAAACGACATCTGGTGGAACAAATTGGAAGTTTTGGTGGTATGCAATTAAATTTTCCAGTTTGAGTGGCTTTGGAAATTTTAGATAGATAGATGTGGAAATTGAATTTGCAAAATACACCAAATGGATTTCACATATTGAGGTTATTTAACTGCTCTCTTGATTTTGTTTGGCAGCTCTGGACAAAATATTACAATAATTCTTGCAAGGCAGTCTCTTTACAATTTCTTACATTGCCTGTGACCCTCTTAAATAAACTATACTTAGCATATAGGCTACTTTTAGTAAAACATTTTTGATAAAAAAAACTGGGCTGAAACGCAACAGATAGCCGACTATAAAATTTAAAAGAATTCTGGGATGCCGAATAATCTAATATTCAATTCACACACTGTTGTATTCCAAGAATGCAGTGTGCCTAAACAACTACAACAAATTGGATTCCTGCATGGAATGAAGCAATTAGAGGCAACCTAACAAAATTCCACCTGAGGATCTCTTGAAACAGGTCCCCCTAAAATTTATTCCATGGAGCAGCATGAACCACCATCACTAATAATAAACAAAGTATTTTAAATGAAAAACTTATAATTAGTATTGTAGAAATTAAATTGGGCTCTGCTATTCATTATACTGAATTATTAATATGGGAGTATGATTTTCCCCTGCATTTTTGACAATTTACCAATACTATAAAATACTAATATTATAATTTATTTCTAAATAAAATAATACTAATAATAGAAAAAAAACTGACTACTGAAAATAAGTCATTGTTACATATGAAGGAAATGTAAACTGAACGATATGAAGTCGCCAACCTTTTTAAATTTCAATCCATTTTTGAATTTATATTATATTAAGTGCTACAACACATATAGTTAAAAACATAAATTTAAATTACTGATAGAATTATTTTTTCATTCTGATCAAATAATACAAACTACACTTACCTATTTCCTGCACCCTGAAAAGCAATAAACCCTTTTGTTTCCGGTAACAAATCTGTGGGGTCTATAGCCATTTCTTCTTCCTGTTTTGGAACTGGTTCAGGTTCTTTGTATCCAACAGGTGGAGCAAATTCCACCTATAACAAAGTTCATGTAAGAAAGTTAAAGAAGGGACACACTTTTATCCCAATTAAAAATACCTAAAAAAACAAACTTACATTCATATCACATTCAATAATGCTAACAGCTGGGCCAGGTTTTGTCTCCAGAACACAAAGCTCATAAATTCTCTGATTATATTTTATGGCAATTACATCTCCTGTGGTTAGGCAAGCAAAACTTCGTAGCCCATTTTCAAGAACTGCTTTAGGATTGGTAATGTCAAGAAAATCCTCTGACTGAGGTTGAAATCGTGAAAATGTTGCCACAGGTAACGATACACTTTCAATCTGTAGGGTGTCACCTTCTTCGAGTAGCAAGTTGTGCATCATCTAAAAAACAGACAACTTCATCTTTAGTAAATACAAAACCCTTGAGTACATGATATACATTGTACCAAGTGCTATTCTTACCCAGTATGGTAAATATACTTTCCCTTCGTCAGCCACAAATTCCAGAACACCACTGTGCGTGATGCGGTTAGTTTTCTTGTTTGTGAGTTTAAATAACATAGGATACACAATATTAAGTCGAGTCAAGTGGTCCAGGGCAGATGGAGGCATTATAACTTTATAAACAAAGAAACAGGAATGTTATTTTTCCAACATCACAATCAAACACTTTACTTCTACATCCAATTAAAATGTCATCTGTATTGTATACATACTTTTGCCACCTCTTTCTACATCATGTCTTTCATTTCCTGGCAGCATAGAAACTGAGTAACATTTGAACTGGGTATTGAATTGCCGAGGCATCTCCGGGAACATGTTAAAACCAAACTACAAGCAAAAATACACTGGATTACACTAGGCACATTCTACTAACAATGCTTACCATTGATCCAATTAATTTTCTCAATACCCAAACATCCCAAAAGTTCATTGTAAACGATCCATCAAGGGACATCATCAAATAATTTGGTTTTTGGTTTTAAAATTTACAGAACAATATATAATTATGAAACAATACCACACTCTTTAACAATAACACCTACCATTTTCAATTTTTTTAAATTACAGATGCTCGAATGTTATAAATACACCTTATCAACCCTTCACACATTCAAAAGCACTTGTGATCAACGTGAATTGCAAACGTCAACATGTGTCATCACTCAACACGCAAAGTCATGAATGTCAAACAATGAATACTTCAGTCCCTGGCGTTTCGGTTTGCTTACACCACAGTATCATGCAGGAGACACCACTCAACGCGATCTGACATTTCTTAGGCAAAGTAGTTCAGAACAAATGAAGTCCGGCCGTACACGTCAGTGTAGGCAGTGCCGGGAAATTCAAATGTTCCTTTTCATTGAAACATTCCATTGATAATTATGCCCTTTAAGGGCTGAGAAACATATGACTAAATATATGCCATAGGTTAAGTTTCAGTTATTTGAAGGAGCCATAGTTTAGTCGAAGAGATATGATAATGATTTTCATGGCAATATGACGTGACCCTTTGAACATTGCCACATTCACAGAGAAACAAATGATGAATGAAAAATCTTGAAAGTGTTCGCCAAAGATTGTTATTTATCAATAAAATTGTATTTAATAATTGAATATTTTCAGATATTCTTGTAAAAGTAGCATATGGAAGATTAAAAACCCATATGAGGTGAATGAACCGTGAGCATACGTTACGAAAATAGTTTTTAATTCCGCCACATTGTGCCGAAATGTCTAGTGTATATTAAAGATAAAGAAATTCCCAAAAGTTTATTATAGAGAAGGAGGAATAAAATGGTATTGAAACTTAAGGATTCTAAAGATTTAAATTACGAACAAAACGCGGAGATTCGTGTTGTCGAAACACGAATATTTTTTAAGTTCAAACATTACATTGTTCGAATTCCAGAGTTACACGACTTTGAAGCAAAAGTAATACGCAGTGATTGTTTACGAAGAAGTCAATTCTGCGGATGTAAAGCTGGTATTTCATTTTCAGCAATTCTCATTATTGTCGCAACTCATTTTCATCTTTTCGTTTCTTCTCATTTCTTTCTTTTTCGTTGCATTTTGTTTTTCTTTCTCTATCTTTTTTTCTTTCCTTTGCTTTTCCTTGTTTCTTTCTGCTCCTTCTTTCTTTTTCTATCTTTTTTCTTCATTGTTTCCTTGCTTTTCTTTACTTTACTTTGACTTCCTTTTGATTACACATATTTTCCAATTTAAAGGAGTTGTAATTAACGACGTTCAGTGAATGAATGATGATGCTGCAGATGATCTCAGCCAAATGACACGTATATGGAATTTCTTATGTTACTTGTACGAAATAGGAGGAAAAGAACGTAATTTTTGTCAAAATCCCGAGATCGATTTTTATTACTTAATTTCTACCTCTCACGTTACACGATAAGGTATTTATTTGCTAATTTCACGTGCAAAATGTTTATATTACTTACTCATAACATAATTTTAACGAATTGTAAAATCAGCAATCACAATTGTGTTTCAATTAATTTCTAAATGATCTACATAAATCTATTAACAAGTAGTATTGAATTCTAGTATTCACTCTATCCACGATGCTTACCATACTATTCAATAATTCATGTAGATGATAATGACTAATACGCATATTCTATTAGCTAGCTCTTTATTCTTCAGTGAGACACTTTTATAGATCACGAAGGAACTGCAGATGATAGTGATCCAAATGTGGTCACCCACTTTCTCGTTGCTCTTTCTATCTTTGCATTCACTTTACGCGCAGCACTGGAGAGCTTCCGAACGAGGCGTTGCCTTGTTTGCGAACATCGCGTTGGCCTGGGCTTTGACGATGGAAGAGACCATGGCACAGTCGAGGTTCGGGCTGGGCCAGATGCAAGGGTATGATGCAAAGGTGGTATGCAGAAGAAATAATTAAAAACTATTTGAAAGTGTAGGGAGAATTAAAATGTGACGTAATGCCTAAAGATATTAGAAATAACATGATAACATTGGATTAAAAGTTACTTGGATTCATCATCATATTTACACAATCACTAACACATCACATTACTGTGGTTTGAACAACATCAGGTTCTTCAAAATGCACCCGTGTTAATATATTCAGGAGACGGCTACATTTGATGTGTGTGTTAATCTTAACGATGACAATCCTTCGAAATGTTTGTAATACGTAGACAACTATAGCACTATCGTAGTTCAATAGAACTAATTATTACGGCAAGAGACAGAACCTTTAATTAAGGTGATTGCATAAAAAAAGAAACTTGTAAAAAAATCATTCTTAAAGTGACTCCATTTACAGAAAGAATAAGTTAATATTTAAAATTAATACTAAAAAATCGTAGAACAAGTTCACAAATTTACACCTTCAAGGTCCATCATTTACTTTTAAAATTATATACGGTTTTCAAAGAAAAAACCCGCAATCACACTTGCGGTGAGAGGGAAACGAACCAAATAAACTGCTTGAAAAGCAACAACGCAGAACACTACATCAATATCGCATTTACTAAGAACCAGCGCCGCTGTGCATTCCCCCATAGCGTTTCTTAAGAAATAATCGTAATTACGATGGCAGGGAACCGAACCCGGATCAACTACTTGGAAGGCAACTATGCTGACCATTACACCACCATCGCACGGTGACAGCAGCCGGCCCGGCCAAATATTATGCAATGAAATCCGATTTTAAGGAAAATACTTAATAATGTTTGCGACGGCCGGGAATCGAACCCGGATCAACTGCTTGGACGGCAACTATGCTGACCATTACACCACCATCGCATTTGTACTGTTAAATCGTTTGTATGAAGAAAACGGTAATTACCATTGCGTCGGCCGGGAAACACTTTACTTCCATAATGAACTGTATTATTAAGAAGCTTGCGGAAGAATTGCTCTTGTAAATTCTGATATCAACAAATTAAGGATATTAAAATGTCTGTTCTTTAGAAGGAGGGAGTTCTGCAAATCTGTTACCTCCAATTGCATCGGCGAAGGCATGGTATCGAGTGAGACATGTGGGGTTGCGGCTTCCTCTGCCAGCCATCGCACTGCTCATATTGCTTCCACGAAAAGCGGGCGCCCGCGAGCCCGACTGTCCAGCGTGCCCGCAAGAGACCGTTTTGGAATAGTGTGTACTAGAACGTCGGTAATATTGTGAAGTATTCAAACGTAGTTGTTAAAAAATGATTTAATTTCTTAAGAAGAGTTGGCGGGTTGTCAGCTGGCCCATGCTTGGCATTTCTGACAACTGCGACGCTGCAGGAGGAACACCAGGCAGTCCTTGCCGCGCCCGAAACAGCACTCGGTCAATCGTTGACTGAAAGACCTTGTGCGCCTCTTGCACTAAAGACACGCGCGCGGGGCCCATGCTCAGCCCTCTTGGCGTTGGCGCTGCGAAGCCGCCCCGTGATTGTCCAACGCCATTCGAGCAGGGATGCGTCATCGATGGAGACGCTTTCAAAACATCGATTTTAAAGATCGATATATTGAATCCGTGATATATTGAATACTGTGCTAGATGTGTTTTGTTCACGAATGAGAAAATTGATTGATTAATGATTCGGGGAGTCTCAACTGCTAAAATCATTAGTCCCTTGTGTGTAGTGCATGTTAATTCCTCGGGATGGGGCAGTGGTCTCCCCCTGGTGGATGGTGAGATCCGGCGCCGACCTACCGTCGGCCAACGGGGTTTTTCCCCAACCAGGTATCTCCCAGGTACCGCACCATTCAGGGCAAGCTCTAAACTCCCGACCTGTCTCCCGGAATGATGTGGTAGTGTAGTGCATGTAACTGTGTAAGAACGGGGTTGGATAGAACAAGGAATGTGAAAGAAAGATTGCGTACAGTTCCCCCGTCTTCTTCCGTTCTTCGTTCCGACGTCTTTTCAAGAAGGCCTGAGTGGTCAGTTGCCCGGGCTCTCCTGGAGGGGTGGCATGACGTAACGGCTGACCCCTCCGCGCTTGCCACGAACCGCAAGTCCGGCGGTCGAGCCCCGGGCAGCAGATAACAGGTCGCGCTGTTTCGACCCTCATCAGTGGCGCGGGGATACGTCTTGGCATCGCCGAAGCAGCATGGGCGTTTGTGAGGTTCTGAGCATGGCTCAACCACGCTCCAATATCAATATATATATATATATATATATATATATATATATATATATATATATATATATATATATATATATGTGTGTTTCACAATTTTTTGTTTAAATTGGTAGGTCTGTTTTGATTATATCGAGTGGTATTTCCATTAGAATAATTTTATTTAATATCATCAATAAACTGTTGGTGATCTAAAACAGTATTTGTTAAAACTCTATGGACAAATTCAATGAACAATATATACATTTACTGTAACAATTTCCACTTTTTAATCAAGATTTTTCCTTTTGACATGGCCCATTGGTAGTTTGAACTCATTGGGTACATTACATTATTTGGCTATCTTATGTATAAAAGACTTTGTTTGTTTGTTTGTTAGTTCAGCCTTAATGCGCTGCCCTACCATTCATCCGAATGCGATAAACCTATGTCAACTTATTGCTTACATTTCCGGGGACATAGCCATAGTGCGATAGAAATGTGCATATGACCGCGCACATGGATGCGCGTTGATGATTTTATGTTGACTAAAGCGCACAGAACAGGGCGCTCTTCGTAACCGCGCTTGTCGCAACCCGTTGCACACTGAAGTACGATCATTAAGATGCATATTCTGCCCCTGCAATTGTGAATTTTCTCAGGGGAGAGACAGATGCAAGGAGAGTCCACTAGTATTATATGTAATTCAGGTAAGCCATCACCTGTACTTGGTGCATTTCACGTACATGTAGATTACATCTTTTCAACAATGATTTATCTAATTATGTTACGTGTAACACTTTGTGTTTCAGATCTATTTAAATTATTAGTTGTTTTATAATTTTATACAAATTTTATAATTTTAAATGTTACGAATGAATATTTGAGTAAATCACAACCACATGTGAAACTGAGTAGATATGCAACTATGTGTATCTGTAACTGTGTGCAACTGTAACTGTGTGCAACTGTATCTGTACGCATCTGTATCTGTACGCATCTGTATCTGTACGCATCTGTATCTGTAGCATTGTATTGTGTGGCATCTGTATCTTGTGTGAATCTGGTACTCTGTACGCATCTGTACTGTAGCATCTGTACTGTACGCAATCTGTATCTGTACGCATCTGTATCTAGTACGCATCTGTATAATCTGTACGTCATCTTATCTGTAAGGCATCTCTATATGTACGCATCTGTATTGTACGCA